ATCTATATCTGTCTCTCTGTTGTTTATGTCTATCTGTCTATCTATCAGTCTATTATTCATTCATATATTCCTCTAAATATCTGTCTGTATGTATTGTTACCTATAACGAGCGTGGGCGTATTTGTATGTGGAAAAGAAAAAAAATCACATACACCTGTCTGTATTCTCATACTATATATATATACATCTTTTATAGACGGGTGATCTCCAGATTCGCTACAAGCCTATGTAAAAAAAAAGGCAAATTGTAGTAATTTCACAGTGGTACTTATGTTAGATTTAAATTACTACATTGGTATATATGCAGTTTTTATTCTGAAGTTTGGTAGTTGATGCATATGAATACTACAAATACCGTTTGATAAATATTCATCCATCTCTCTCTCTCTCTTTCTCTCACACACATATAAATAAATAGATGTATGTATATATATTCATATATATACAAGTATGTATATGTATACATATGGGTATATATGTGTATATACACACACACATATATGCATGCCCACACACACACACATATATGTGTGTGTACATATATGCACATATCTGTATATGCAGGCATACATACATACATACACACATACACATATATATATGTTTATATTTATATACATACATATATATGCATATACATATGCATATGAGGAATACATGTATGGAATTCATGTCGAACACGGCAAAGGGAGATGGTAAAGGCGGCGTTCATACATTCAACCAACAACCTTAACATCGTAACAGGGAGCCAAGGTCGTTGCATGACTTACCGACGTGACCTGACCGCTCAGTACATGTATATATACACCTCTGTGTATCTCTTGTCTTATATGCCCTGATAAAGCAGTAAAGTGAAAAGGCCTATTCGTGTTTTTTCTGTACTTCCCTTCGTTGTTCTACTTGCACATATGTATACATATACACATATATATACATATACTTACATACGTGTGTGTGTATATATGTACGCACACACATATATAGTATATATAGTATATATATATATGGGTGTGTGTGTGTGCACATACATTCATAAACACATAAACATCATACATAGATATATATGTGTATATATATGAACACATTTAGGTTGCGAGAATAAGCAAACGGATGACGATAGAATGTTCGCTTAATTGATAAATATTTTCATAGTTATATTAATAGTTTTTCGTGTAGGCATAAGTAGAAGCGGGTTCGTAGGCAGGAGCAGGCTTGTAAATAGGGGCGGGTCTGTAAGCGGGGGCAGGCTGGTATGTAGGACTGGCCTTATACTTGGGGTGCTGGACCTCATCCTCGTAGCTGATGTAGCTAGAGTCGTTCTGCAGATATACCAAAATGGAGCATATTGGTATATCATTCGAGGAACTCGTGAAGAGTTCGAAACGTTACGATTTAATTTCATTTCTTACTGTGGCTGTTTTCCTTTCATCTTTGTCTACACGTTACTGTGTTTGTGTCATATACACATATGTATGTAGGTATATATAGATATTCTTACAGGCATACATATTTACCATAGATCTGTATCTATATCAATATTTATATCTACAGCTATATCCATATCTATATCTATATGTATGTGTGTGTCCTGTACACGCATACATTTACATTAGTATGTGCATATACACTGAACATTAATATTGTATGTATATTACTTTAGATCGTCCTCGCTCTTGCCCTTGTGGCCGTCAACCTGGCTGCTCCTTCACAGCCTTCCTACGGATATACTAATCCAGCAACCTGAGACGTAAGAAAAATCTTATAACATAAATAATATCGATTGCTTAATTCAAATTCATACTAATTCTACTCTTCTTTAGGCTCCCGCTAAGTACGATTTTAACTACGCCGTTAATGACTATTCAGGAAACGACTTCGGTCACCAGGAAACCCGTGACGAATATGACTCTCAGGGATCCTACTACGTCCAGCTTCCCGACGGTCGTCTGCAGAAGGTCGCCTACACTGCCAACGACGACTCTAGCTACATCAGCTACGAGGATGAGGTCCAGCACCCTGAGTACAAGCCCAGTCCTGCATTCCAGCCTGTCCCCGCTTACAGACCCGCCCATACTTACAAGCCTGCTCCTGCCTACGAACCCGGTCCTACTTATGCCTACACGAAAAACTATTAATATAACTATGAAAATATTTATTAATTAAGCGAACATTCTATCGCCTTCCGTTTGTTTATTTTCGTAACCTAAATGATTCCTCATGATTTCGAATTTCATGTTCCTTTTCCCATAAAGCTTCTATTCTATTGATATGTGATAGTTTTTATTAGTAACTGAACAATAAAAAACATTACTTTGAAGTTGGGTATTTGACAATGTTCATCGGGCCCTAAGATCCATATTTCCTACATCGCAAAAAGAAAGAACGAGAGAGAAAAAATACAAAATGCCATGATACCCTTAAATGAATGGCATGCAGTTTCTTTTATGATTCAAGTGACCGAATGGTCCTCCATTTTTTTTCTTGCACACCTCCATATTCTCATCGCTTTGGCCTAGGTCATTGTTTTATTATTCGTACACCTGTTGCAAGTCCAGGCAATTTGGCCATGAAAAATATCTTAAAATGTTAATCACAGAGGCACATTGTATTTTCAAAGTCATTATTGGGAAAATCAAATATTACACCTATAAAAAAATCGTTGATTTCGTGTCAGGTTGTGTGGTACAGGACCTTACAACTTACGGTTCTATTTTGCATGTACATATCACATATTTATATGTACACACAGACACCCATACCAGGTTGAAAAAATATTTATCGTCAGTATAGATAACTACAAAGTACATATGTTTAAATGTGGGCAGAGACTGATTCGTAGGCAGGAGTATGGTTGTAGGAGTAAACTTGTAGGCATGACTAGGTTTATTCTCTGAGTATTGTTCATCTCCCTCTTAGCTCACTTCAGCCATTCAGCGACATTCTGTAGATGACTGTCGGAAAGCAGGGTCGTAACCGTCACGAGCCTCCTGGTGACCGAAGGCATTTCCGTTGTAGTCGTCTATAATGGCATAAAGGAATTCGTACTTAGCAGGGGGAAATAAAATAGTAATAAGTGTGTAACTGCGATAATATATAGCGAATTAAAGGCTATATGACATATACTTAGCAATTCATAACTAATTGTATATACGTTTGAACTGTAGTTGGTCTTATAGCATTCACGAATCCTAATTGCAATAGTAATCTACGACCAGTCCATGCATAATTAACTCTCTGTGCTTTCTCTGTACCTTCATCTTGTTAATCGCTCTAGTTTGATTTAATCGCATTCAGTTATATGTACATGTCTTGTATATGAATTATGTATATAAACACACACCTGATCAAAACAGTTCCAGAAAAATATCCTTTAGGTCCTTTTCGAAGTCGTACATAACATAACATAACAGAGATTGCATAATTAGCATGTAACGGAAATTAACAATATCTATGTGGTTTACAACATAGGAAAAGATTTTAGGACAATTGAGTTCTGTGAGGGAGCAACCAAACGGTATGAACAGCGATAGTATGAAATTGGACATAAAGCCTAAGCTCATGAACAAATCAAATATGATAAAGGGCACTGATATTGGGCATTCTGAGAAGAAATATCAAATACAGTGATGTGGTGAAACTTTCAAAATACATTTTAAACACCTGCGCATTTTTTTTCGTAGACACACGCCCCCCAGCCACTTCCATTTCCACGCTCTGATCTGCCTATTCTTTACTATGATTGAGATTTTGTAGTCTTGTAGTCACTGTTACAACAAGCACGTACACTCACACACACGCGACAGATACATACCCACGCATATGTACATGCGCATATTCATACATAGATGCATATACATATATAGACACAAACATGCACACATCTACAGATTCCTTTACACACAACCACATATTTTATATGACAGGTTTTCACATTATGTGTTTTACATCTCCGCTAACCAAATGTTTCATGTCTTGGTTTTCTAGTTAAGAGTTGACTTTATAGAGACTTTTGTTACTTAGTAGTTGAATATTTATGTCAAATGTCCTGAAAATCGATTTTTATAAGGATTACAGATAATACAACTTGATGCTAAGATTGTTGTTTAATAAATATTTTGAATATGTTTAAAGATTATCATATTTAGACGTAACCAGGGGCGGGTTCATAGGCAGGGGCAGGCTTGTAAGCAGGCGCAGGCTTGTAGGCAGGAGCAGAATGGTGCTCAGGGTAATGAGCTTCACCCTCGTAGCTGACCTCAGCTACGTAGCCAGAGTCGCCGTTGACAGTGTAGGTGACCCTCTGCAGACGACCGTCGGGAAGGAGGACGAAGTAGGAACCCTGAGTGTTGTATCCGTCACGGGCTTCCTGGTGACCGAAGTCGTTTCCGGAGTAGTCGTCCTTAACAGCGTAGTTGAAGTCATACTTAGCAGGAGCCTAAAAAAAAATAAAATTAGTTTGGATCTGAAGTGATTATAAATGATACGCCAATTAACCAGATATGAGTACAACATTTAGTATGAAACTGAAATATTAATGAGATACGTTGACTGACCAATATAGGTAAAAATCCTTAGGAAGTAAGTTATTACTTACGTCATAGGTTGCCGGAGGAGAGTAATCGTAAGAAGGCTGTGAAGGAGCAGCCAAAGCGACGGCCACAAGGGCAAGAGCGAGAACGGTCTGTAATATGACATATGTATTTAACCAATAGAAATGAAAATTTCTGAATTGTTCGATTCAATATGTGCATATCTATGAATATATATATATACAGATGAATATAATTATACATATATATACACACACATATATATATACAGATGAATATAATTATACATATATATACACACACATATATATATACAGATGAATATAATTATACATATATATACACACACATATATATATACAGATGAATATAATTATACATATATATACACACACATATATATATACAGATGAATATAATTATACATATATATACACACACATATATATATACAGATGAATATAATTATACATATATATACACACACATATATATATACAGATGAATATAATTATACATATATATACACACACATATATATATACAGATGAATATAATTATACATATATATACACACACATATATATATACAGATGAATATAATTATACATAGCATATATATACACACACATATATATATACAGATGAATATAATTATACATATATATACACACATCCATATATATATATATATATATGTAGACATACATCCATATATATATATATATGTAGACATACATCCATATATATACAAATGCATATAAATATATATTCCAATGTGTATACATATACATATATAATTGTATATATATGTATACACACACGCGCACACATATATATGTGTATACTTATGAATGTTTCCATATACATATCTTCCTATTTTTATGAATGAATATGAATATGAATATATATATCTAATATACATATACACATGGATGCATATATACATACAAGCATACAAACATATGTATGCATATATTGGTATATATATATACGTATATGTATGCGTGTGTATTTGGACTTACTTGCTCGTGTAAGCAGTCTTGCTTTATAACGGTAAATCCCTCTACTCCATATTTTTATGGCCTTCATAAAACAAACAGGGCGTCCCTCTGATGCCTATTTTTTCGTCTCGCAACTCAGTGACCCATCCATTAAACTCTTGGCTAACTAGTGTTTTATCTCCTTTTTTGGGTCCTTTTCTATTAAACATTCGATGGTAATAAAATAGTGAGCTTTGATGTAGACGATGTGCTAGATTTTCTTGAAAGAAAACTTTCTTCATCTCATGAGAAGATCCCTATTCCGGTCAGTTGCTTTATCGATCTCATTCGTCTGTGTGTCACGAATAATTACTTTTGATGGCGGATTTTATAAACAGATTAATGATAACGTGATGGGAAGTAGTTTAAACCCGGTCCATGGTAACTGATACATGGAGATGTTTTAACTCCTTCCACCGAATATATTCTTCCTGACACGATTAGGTTTCGTTAAATTGGTGATATTTTCTCTTTGTGGCTGGTGAACCGCTCAAATTTCGTTGGTACTATCAATTTTAAAGTAGAATAGAAAGATTCAAGTAAATTACCTTTTTTCAACGTCATTTTTTAGATGTTTTCGAAATTAATATATCCTTTTTCTTAAATCAAGCACATTCATCTGCGAGATGGAAATTTTGTACTCATTTCCGTAATACCGATCACGATAATGCCAGTGATCTATCAATCATTCAGTATAACCCGTCCCTCGATGAAAAACGACATATGTTCAAAGACGCTGTAATTGACATTGTTTCTACGCATCCGAACGCGTTGCGCAATACTGTAGTCAAGCACAATGCGGTAATTTTGAGACTTGCCTCAAGTTTTACATAGCGAGACCGGAAGAGCTTTCGAAAAAAAAAGAAAAAGAAATGAACTTAAACGTAACGTTAGATATGTCAGAGAATGAAATGAGTGTTTCGTTGATTTACGTGATGAAGGTCACCAGCTTAACTGGAAAAGCGCTGTATTTATTCATAAATCAGTAAATTTGTATAAAAAATGCTAGCTCTGTTAATTAAAAAAATACTTAAATTTAACTTGAGTACTAGTTAATGGGGCTTGGATGCTCTTACCTCGTCGTTAGAAGAACCCTCCCCAGACTCTTCGACTTTGACCCTCCTCCCGAGGCCTGATTCATCTCTTCTGTCTTTTTACCACTATATATTCTTGTCAAAATTCTCTCTCTAAATTATATGTGTATATATATGTATATACATATGTGTGTGTATGTATATGTATATCTATGTATGTATATATATATATATAAATGTACGTGTATATGTATATATGTATGCATGTATATATGTACAAATATGTATACATGTATATATGTATCATATTTGTATATATATGTATGTACATATGTTAACATATCTATATGTATATATGTATAAATATGTATGTATATATGTATATATATGTATGTGTAAATATGTATATATATGTATGTTATATATGTATATATATATACACATACACACATATACATATATGTATGCATATATGTATATATATGTATGTATATATGTATACATATGTATGTGTAAATATGTATATATATGTATGTTATATATGTATACATTTATGTATATATATACACATATATTACAAATATATACATAAATTTATCACACACACATATATACATACATATTACATATATATACATAAATTTATCACACCATATATATATTACAAATATATACATAAATTTATCACATATATATATATATATTACATATATATACATAAATTTATCACATATATATATTACAAATATATATATAAATTTATCACACATATACATTACATACATATACATACATGTGTGTATATACACACATATTTATATATGTATATATGCATATACATAGGTCTGCATTTTTTCATACGTTTCGACACATAATCTTTACGGTTACACAAAAATTTGTTCACACGCACAATGAATTTTGTCAATATTTTCAGGTTGAAAAGGAATACAACTTGTTGCTTGGGTTTTCGTTCAATAAATATCTTGCATATGTTAGTTTATACACACTTAGGCGTAAGTAGGGGTGGGTTCGTAGGCAGGGGCAGGCGTGTAAGTGGGAGCGGGTTCATAGGCTGGAGCGGGCTTGTAAGCAGGAGCGGGCTTGTAAGCAGGGGCAGGCTTGTAAGCAGGAGCAGGCTTGTGGGCAGGAGTAGGATGGTACTCGGGGTACTGGGCTTCACCCTCGTAGCTGACCTCAGCTACGTAACCAGAGTCGCCGTTGACAGTGTAGGTGACCCTCTGCAGACGACCGTCGGGAAGGAGGACGAAGTAGGAACCCTGAGTGTTGTATCCGTCGCGTGCTTCCTGGTGACCGAAGTCGTTTCCGGAGTAGTCGTCCTTGACAGCGTAGTTGAAGTCGTACTTAGCAGGAGACTGAAAAAAATCCTTATTAGTATGAAACTATGACACATGATACACTGATTAAGCAGATTCAAGTATAAAACCCTCAGAATACGCGATATTGCTTACGTCATAAGTTGCCGGAGGAGAGTAATCGTAAGAAGGCTGTGAAGGAGCAGCCAAAGCGACGGCCACAAGGACGAGAGCGATGGCGGTCTGGAATACGAAACAAAATGCGGGATATAGTAAGGATGATACGAAGACATAAATACATAGAGAATAAGAAATGAAAAGAACTATTGAAAATGGAACGGATATATAAACTGTGAAATTAATATGGCTGATTAAAAAGAAAAAAAAAAAAAATCAATGTATATATGTATATATAGACATACACAACACATAACTGTATATATTGTGCATAACTGTACTTCTTTAGACTAGATTCGCACCTTAGTGAACATGATGAAGATAGATGATCGACTGAGATGCATCAGACGTCGAGCCGTTGCCTTTTATACTGTGTGACTCTCGTAAACTCTCCTCAGCTACTCCCTTTCCACTGTCCAGCCGACCCTCACCTTGACGACGGCGAAAGTAGTATACTCTAATTATCTCTGAATGAAGTGTAAGGAAACAAATAAGCAAAATGCATTCGTACCTCACACACTATATATATAAATATAAATGTAAACACGAATACAAATGTAAGTGTACGTCTAAATCATAAAGCAGAAATTTAGACCGTGAGTACGTGAACCTAGCTTAAGAATTTCATTGCGGAAGGAACTTCGTTCATTATCTAGAAAAATGTCTGATGGTGCTGCCTTTCAAGGGATGACTGCCTTGTAAGTAATCTCAGCGATTTTAAGAATAAATAATCTAGAACTAGAAGCATTTACTAATATAGACTGACTAATCTGTTCGTGTAAGCAATTCCGGACTATTTTAAATTTGAAGAACGAAATCGGGAATTGACTTGATAATCAGAATGACTTGCTAATTATCGTTAACTGTATGAAATATATCTTACAGAAAGATTCCTTAAAGTCAGAATATGTAAAGAGGATCCATCATATATTTCCATTTGTTATGTTTATATTTTTAATGCATAAATTAGATAATGCTTCTCATGATTATTTTTTTGGCAAACGTACACTAAAACATATATAGATAGACACAAAACCACTCCGACCCTCCCCCTCTTCCACCGCACGCACAAATACACATTATATGCATGATATATACATACATGTTCGATTAAAATTTCATCTTTTTTTCGTATAGTTATAATCTCTCAAATTTGATACCGTAAAATACTGGTATGTTGGTATCAAATACCAAATACCGGTATACTGTTCTCAAATATCATAAAAAACGTTCAGCTGCTTCTTAATTTCTGAAAGGGGAATTTCAGTTCTCTTCTTTTTTCTGCTTCTTCGTTTTCTTCTTTTTCTTCTTCATCATAATAATAATGATAAAATTGATAATAATATAATTCATATATAGATATAGATATATATATGCATACACACATATATATATATATATAGATATACATACATATACACACAGACATATATATATATATATACAGATAAATATAATTATACATATATATATACACATCCATATACATATATATACACATCCATATACATATATATGTATATATTTGCAGACATACATCCATATATATATAAATGTATATATACACACCTATGTGTATATATGTACATATACAAATATGTATATATATATGTATATACACACGCGCATGCACACATATACATGTGTATACATATGAATGTTTCTATATACATATATTTGTATCTTATGAATGAATGTGAATATGAATATATATATATATACACGGATGCATACATAATTTACAAATATATGTATGCATATAAAAGTACATATTTTGGCATGTATATATATGTATGTATATGTATACACACACACACACACATATATATATATATGTATGTATATGTGTGTGTGTGCATTTGGACTTACCTGCTCGTGTAAGCAGTCTGGATTTAGAACGGTAAATCCCTCTATTCCATATTTTTATGGCCTTCATAAAACAAACAGGGTGTCCCTCTAATGCTTATTATTTCGTCTCGCAACTCAGTAACCCGTCCATTAAACTTTTGGTTAACTGGTGTTTTATCTCAAAAAGATAGATAAGCAGAATTTCTTTCAGAAAACTCAACCTCGCTCGCACATTGAATTTTAAAGTAGAATAGAAAGATTCAGGCAGATTACTTTTTTTTCGACGTTCTTTTATTCAATGCAATTGGCTTGCTTAAATTTCCAGTTTACCGTAAACCTACTCACAATGCTAATTACCTTCACTTTTTTCGAATCACCCGTTGTATGTTAAAAAGTGAGTAGTTTCGGCAAAGCTTTTTAATCTTTTATTATCATTATTATTATTTTTTATAAGGCATATTGGATTTGGGATAATGAATCTATTGATCAGTAGCTCGATGTCATTTTTAAGATGTTTTCGAAATTAATATATCCCATTTCTAAAATCAAGCACATTTATCGGCAAGATGGAAATTTTATACTCATTTCCGCAATACCGAACACGATAAGGCCAGTAATCTATCAATCATTCCGTATAACCCGTCCCTCGATGAAAAACGACATGTTCAAAGACGCTGTAATTGATATTGTTTTTACGTATCCGAACGCGTTGCGTAATACTGTAGTTAAGCACAAAGCGGCTAGCGGTGCTCTTGAGACTTGCCCCAAGTTTTACATAGCGAGACCGGAAGAACTTTCGAAAAAAAAGAAGAAAAAGAAATGATGAACTTAAACAGATATGTCAGAGAATCAAATGAGTGTTTCGTTGATTTACGTGATGGTCAAAAGCTTAACTGGAAAAGTGCTATATTTATTCATAAATCAGTAAATTGATATGAAAAAAAATGCTAGCTCTGTTAATTAGAAAAATGAGAAATGTTAACTTGAGTACTGGTTAATGGGGCTTGGATGGTCTTACCTCCTCGTTAGTAGAGCCCTCCCCAGACTCTTCGACCTTGACCTTCCTCCTGAGACCTGATTCATCTCTTCTGTCTTTGTACCACTATATATTCTTGTGAAAATTCTCTCTAAATTGTGTATATATATGTATATGTGTGTATATGTATATAAATGTACGTGTATATGTATATATGTAAAAATATGTATATATGTATAGATATGTATGTGTATATATGTATATATTATGTATATATGTATATATTTATGTATATATACATATATATACACATATATTACATATATGTACATAAATATCACACACATATATATATATATAACATACATACATGTGTGTATATATGCACATATTTATATATGTATATATGCATATACACAAGCCTGTATTTTTTCATTCGTTTCGACACATTATCTTTACGGTTACACAAATATTTGTTCACACAATGAATTTTGTCAATATTTTCAGGTTGAAAGGTAATACAACTAGATGCTTGGGTTTTCGTTTAATAAATATCTTGCATATATTAGTTCATACACACTTAGACGTAAGTAGGGGCGGGTTCATAGGCTGGGGCGGGCTTGTAAGCAGGAGCAGGCTTGTAAGCAGGAGCAGGCTTGTAGGCAGGAGTAGGATGGTACTCGGGGTACTGGGCTTCACCCTCGTAGCTGACCTCAGCTACGTAACCAGAGTCGCCGTTGACAGTGTAGGTGACCCTCTGCAGACGACCGTCGGGAAGGAGGACGAAGTAGGAACCCTGAGTGTTGTATCCGTCGCGTGCTTCCTGGTGACCGAAGTCGTTTCCGGAGTAGTCGTCCTTGACAGCGTAGTTGAAGTCGTACTTAGCAGGAGACTGAAAAAAATCCTTATTAGTATGAAACTATGACACATGATACACTGATTAAGCAGATTCAAGTATAAAACCCTCAGAATACGCGATATTGCTTACGTCATAAGTTGCCGGAGGAGAGTAATCGTAAGAAGGCTGTGAAGGAGCAGCCAAAGCGACGGCCACAAGGACGAGAGCGACGGCGGTCTGGAATACGAAACAAAATGCGGGATATAGTAAGGATGATACGAAGACATAAATACATAGAGAATAAGAAATGAAAAGAACTATTGAAAATGGAACGGATATATAAACTGTGAAATTGATATGGCTGATTAAAAAGAAAAAAAAAATCAATGTATATATGTATATATAGACATATACACAACACATAACTGTATATATTGTGCATAACTGTACTTCTTTAGACTAGATTCGCACCTTAGTGAACATGATGAAGATAGATGATCGACTGAGATGCATCAGACGTCGAGCCGTTGCCTTTTATACTGTGTGACTCTCGTAAACTCTCCTCAGCTACTCCCTTTCCACTGTCCAGCCGACCCTCACCTTGACGACGGCGAAAGTAGTATACTCTAATTATCTCTGAATGAAGTGTAAGGAAACAAATAAGCAAAATGCATTCGTACCTCACACACTATATATATAAATATAAATGTAAACACGAATA